AAACTTCGGGGTTTTTTAGTTCAGCTGCCTACATGGAGACTTGGTACGCAAACTCAAATTTAAGATTGTTTTAAGACTGTGTTTTATTTGGATTTGTTATTGGGATTGAGTCTTCTCCAACTGAACGGAAGGCAAGCTTGTGCAAGGGATAACTGTTCCCTTCCTGTCCTCTCTGCTGGAACGCCCAAAAGTTGCTTCAGAAATTTGGTGGAGCCTACCAACCATTGTGGATTGGGTTGTCCGGGGCTGAAGTGGGCGGGGACATTGCCTGAAATTAGATGGAGGAATTGAATGTTGTGCTCCACTGGTGCAAGATTCTCCCCCTCAATTTCGGGCAGTCCTCTTCTGCAGATCCAGGTCACATAGCCCACAAAGCTTGCTTGTTCCTCCCAGCCTTCTGGAGAGGCTTTTTGAGGGGTTCAGGGGAGCTGCAGGGGAGAGGAAGTACCATTGTGTGAGCTGCTTTCTGCTCATGCACCAAATGGATGCATCCCATTTATTTCCTCTAATCTGAACGGCAGCATATTATTTTCCAGATACAAGCAATCAATAAATAACTCAAATAGCCAGTGTGCGCTCTTATTTTGCTGGTTTTGTGCAAGTGTGTTTGCTTGCTGCATTGGGTTGTGGTACTCATCCTGGAATTAGATTGGATGGTGAGGGCTTCAATCTTATGCATTGTATTGCAGCTACTTGTCGTTTGTCTTTTGCCTTTATGCCTTACACAAGAAGCGAGGCTGTGTGTAAATGATAGTTTACATATTGCAATATTTCCTGCACTCTATGTCCTTAGGTGCTCCCTGCCCCATTACCCCTGTCTTGCAAACTTGTTCTTCAGAAATTCTTAGTACTTCAGACAATTGCTGGGGAAAGGCAAAATTAGTTCCCAAAGCTTGGTGTCTATGATAAGTAACACCCTCTTTTACCCAGCCTGTGGTAAGATTTGAAATGGATATTATCTTCTCCTTGAATTGACATGAGCATTCACAGAAGTAGAGTTCAGGGCTGTTCAGTCACCTGTGGTATTCACAAATGTTAATCCACCATGTTAATTCTTTCTTTCAGAATTGACTCTACCTGCAGCTAATCAACATGGAACTAGGAGTAAAAGGTACGCCCAATGCTAAATCAGGCTTATTTCCACAGTTGCACTGGAGTGACTATTGTTCTCCACAGAAATTACCTCAGAAATTACCTCAGAACATATTCAGAGGCTTGTTAGTGATACTATTTCCTTTCCCACCATTCGTATCTCAGTGCCTTTGACTGTGATGAACTCCTTGGCTAGAAGGAGTTATTACTGCTTACTATACTCTTTTACCAATTATATATTTCTCTTTTTCTGAGACTAACATGTATGTCTCTGAGATGAAGCCAGGCATAAGCCAGGCTTATGCAGACAATGTTATAGTTAGCTGATGCTCTCAGGTTTTAAATCTGTATGTGGTTTTTATTGTGCATATGTATGCTAGTTGGAAACCATTTTGGTATGTTTATGGAAGTGTTTTTATTAATTAATAAATAAACAACCAATGAGCTGGACAGTCCAAGGCTGTTATGACCACTCTTTTGAATGAACTTTTCTCTACATCAGGGAAGGCTAATTGGTGGTGCAAAGGCCACATGGCAATTCTGCCTGACACCCAGTAGCCATGTCATATTTTAAATTGCGCAGTGCTAAGGAAAAATCGCCTGCAGCACTCACTTGTACGACCTTTACAAAAGTTGTGTAAGAGGAATAATTCACATATTGACGTTACATCTCTCTTTGAGTGTGATATGAAATATTTTGGTTAATAGCTACCTACAGAAAGTGTGCCAATGCATGGCATTTCGTGTACACGCTTTTGCATGGTTAGGCATGCTCCAGAAAGGCAAAGAGCCATTGCCAGTCAGCTTCCTGAGCAGTCTTTTGGGAGGAACCATTTTCCTCAGTTTTCCCTCACTGATGACTTCACCCAAGCGCATATGCTCCATAAATTTGATAACTTGGTATGAAACAGTGCCAACTATAATGCAGAGCTTGATGGCTCCTGACGCAGGAGCTCATGTGACAGGCTGTCCCTCTCCCACACCACTTTCTGGACAAGAAAGTGGCCTCCCCTTATACAGGTGTTGACTGTTGCTGTTCTAAGAAGGGCTGCTATGTGGAAAGAGGAATCTTGGCCCATTCATTAGCCAGCTCTATCCACAGCTTTTATAGATAATATTTACATTTTCCTCCACAGTTGTGAAATATATGGAAGTATGATGTCAAGATCTGAGAGTGCCTCTTTCATATGACAAGATGCAATCAATAAACCATGTGCCACGTGTGGTTATTGTGCATGTCAACTCATATTTCCCATGTTGCTCTGACTGCAAGTGTTTGTGTTGTACCTTTCCACCTCCAAAGCGTTGATTCTAGAGTTGTTATTTTGGGCTCAGAGTAACTGCAAGAAAAATCACATTCCAAATGTTTCTGTCAAAAGGAGAAAATGTAACGAGCAAGTCAACAGAAAATTCCACTTGTCAAACATCACTTGCCTGTATCTATGGCTTTTGTTATGCAACCTTGTGTTCGGGTGAGTTGTGTGAAGTAAACAGAAAATTGACTTCCTAGTAACAGATCCTTTGTACCCGCTATAGAATTCTGGTCATGTGGATTGAAGCCCTCAACTGAATTACATTTCCCTCCGCCCTCCCATGCAAAACCATTTTTTTTCTCACTTGAAAGCTTTTGGATCCCTACCCCCACCCCTCCTTATTGTTGGAAACCACCAGATTGAGGTTTTGTGGTTTTTTCTTTCTCCAATGGACAGCCAGGCAGATAAGAGACTGTATCCATAAAGAAGAGTTTGACATTAAAAAAATTCACACACTTCTGAAATTGACTGTCAAATCACTTCACATCTGTACCTAAAGCAAACAGACATAATGCTAACAGCTTGCTAGAACTCAAAAATGCCACCCACTAATCAGTCCACCTGTGGAATTCTCAGTCCATCTTGCAAACCGTGGAGTTGACTGCCAAGACGCTTGACAAGAAAATGTATATTAGACTGTTGAGGAAGAAGGGAAATGGAGTGCAGTGTGCGATGGCATGAACAAAATGCACTTGGCGCGCAGCAAGTAAATGGATTTGTTGAAGTTGACTTGTAATTTGTTAACCTGGCTTCAGGCTGTGTTGTGTGTCAATATAGGTGGTATCACCTAAAGCCAGCGCTTCTTAAATCACCAGATCAGACCCTCCAAGTGTCCCTTTTTTCCAGGGACAATCCCAGATTTACAGAAGCCATCCCAGTTTCTGATTTGATCCCAGGATGTCCCGCTTTTCCCTATTTTCAATGGAGAAATGTTGGAGGGTATGGACTTATCTGACCCCTGAGCCATCTGAAGGCAGCCCTGTATAGGGAAGTTTCTAAATGTTTAATGTTTTGTTATGTTTTTATATATGTTGGAAGCCACCCAGTGTGGGGCAACCCAGTCAGATGGGCAGGATATAAATAGTAAAATTATTATTATAGTGTTGCATTGGCCATGTTCCAATGCAACACTTCAGGCACAAAGAATAATATTAGAAGACTGGAACATGGCCAATTAAACATGTTACACATTTCAGTTAGGTCAGCAAATTTCACATTTGAACTCTTTTAAGAATTCTTGGATGGATACCTTTGACCCATACGACTTTCCCTTTCAATTTTTTTTCTTTACCTATCCTCTCATCTTTGACAAATTTCCTCTTTTGAAATGTCTCTGTGCTGGACTTCCCTGGCAATTGTCCACCTACATATACTGTATGTTGAATTTGCACTGAGGTCACTGTTTCTAATCAATTCAGCAATGGCTACATCTCCCACCAGGACTGCTTCCCTTTTTGTCAATTCAAGGACCAACTGGTCTAGAACACAGTCATTTTAGGTATCCAGAAATTTTCCTTTTTTGTCATGATCTAAACATGTATTTATTTGTCCATTCTTCAGCAAGACATGTTCCACTATATCCATACAGCATATGTTCAAATTTATGATAAGAATTTGTCGGGAATTTAGAGTGCTTCTTGTCCAGGGCAAGTTATAATTCCCACATGAAAATCCTTCACAGCCAAGGACCCAACATACTATAACGAGTTTGACTGCCTAGGTAGGCATGAATGGAGTTTCACCCTTTATTTTGCTTGACAAACTCGATGGGTGACCCAGAGATATAACAAAAGGAGCTGGATCTTCCTCGATGTTTTTCAGTCTTTCTCTAATCTTGGAGATGTGAAGTCCATCAGAATTTGGCACAGGGAAAGAGAGAAAACTAGAAGCAGTTGCTGCTTGAGTTTGGCTAGAAAGAGAGCCAGACAAGGGAGCTGTGAGTTGACTGAAGATGAAGGACCCTAGGTCAGTTAGGAATCTCATGCAGGATCAGTGGTTGTGCTGCCTGCATTAGTAATCTATTTGATCCCATTATGCTCTGCATGGATATTTGTAAATAGACAGATATAACAAAAACACTATGTGTCTAGCGTGCTGTGTCATCCAAAGGAAGCAAAACCCAGTAGCCCTGTCTCTGAGTTTCTTGCCGCTCAAGGGAAATGGGGAGCATGCAACTCTGAGACTACCTGCCCCTGTATTTGCCCCAGGGATGGTTATCGTCAATTAGTGAGCTCCTGTGTTTTATGAAGGGTAAAACCAGGGGTAGGCAACCTAAGGCCCATGGGCCGGATGCGGCCCAATCGCCTTCTCAATCCAGCCCTCGGACCGCCCAGGAATCAGCGTGTTTTTACATGAGTAGAATGTGTCCTTTTATTTAAAATGCATCTCTGGGTTATTTGTGGGGCATAGGAATTCATTCATTCCCCCCCCCCAATATAGTGCAGCCCACAACATGGTCTGAGGGACGGTGGACTGGCCCATGGCTGAAAAAGGTTGCTGACCCCTGGGTAAAACCATCAGCCTCAAGGAGTAGAGCCTTTATTGCAATTGCCCCCAAAGCTTTGGACTGACCTACCTGAGAGTAGAAACTGTTCCATCCTGGATAGGTCAGTTGGTTAGAGTGTGGTGCTGATAATGCCAAGGTCACAGATCAGATCCCTGTATAGGACAACTGCACATTCCTGCATAGCAGGGGGTTGGCCTAGATCAGTGGTTCCAAAATCTTTTTTTGACCATGCCCCACCTAAGCATCTCTAAAATCCTGACACACACCCCGGTGACATATAATTCTTATTATTCACAAAGTGGAGGATGCCTAAAAGGCCATTAATTGTTAATAACTCATTCTTGAATTGCCCCCCCTTAAAAATCGAATTGCCCCCCTGTGGGGCATGTGCCCCATGTTGGGAACCATAAGACTAGATGATCCTTAGGGTCCCTTCCAACTCTACAATTCTATGATTTCTTCCCTCGTGGCCTTTTTGATGGATTGTAAAACCTATGGGGTGCTGAGACAATTTGAAGGCTGTTCAGATTTTATTTGATGGCTGCTGAGAGTCGATTTGTGAAAGGCATGTTATGTTTAATTGCTGCTTTCAAAATGTTTGTTGATATTTAATTAAATTGCATTGAGCATAGGAAAACTGGTCCGCAAATTATTTCGAACGAATAATATTTCCATGTAATTCAGGAATCCTGTATAGTATATTGGCAACACTTCGCTATTTGACAGGCAAATCAAATGGCAATGCAAAGGACTGGAGGGGTCAAGGAAGGTACAGTATTAACAGGTAGCTCCTCTTCGTGGATAACATTCTGCTATGAGTCTCTTTGAGGAAAAGTGCTCACTGCCTTAATGTAATCCTACACGTGACTTTTCTTGCGATCTGCACGATGGTTGTTGTTTTTTTACATCTGTTTTTCCCCTCTTCCCGACTTAAGATTTCTCACTCCTTTTGCTAAAGGTTTCTCTCTATTAATTACTTCTTCGCACCTGGATATAATTACCATTCACAAGAGTCTGCCTCTTTTCAGGCTTAACTCTCAACAAGGTTTTCCAAGAAAGTATCCTTCACGACTAAAGACTGCCTCCTGAAGGATGGGACAAAGAGGTAATGTTTTATTTTATAATTATAATTATGACTATAATAATAATAATGAGACTGACATGCAAATCTAACAGCATCTGATAACTATCTAAAGTAACATTCTTCTTGTCCTTCCAGACTGAAGATAAAATGCAAAGATCTATTGGGGGGGACAGACAGATGGGGGGGAGAGGATTGTAGCATGTGATGTGCAGAATAATTTGCATCTCCCGTTCAGGATAGGAAGGTCACACAATCTGTAGTGCAACAGCAAAGGGCAAGCAATGCCTTACTTCTTTAGAGGTTATTTTCTATATGGTATTCCAAGCCTACATGTTCACACAGAAGTCCCCCCCATTAAAAAAAACCCCTTGCATTTGTGCGAATCCGAATGTTATTTTAACATCTGTTCTTTTAAGGCAGTTAGCTCTGCGAAGGCAATGTTCTTTGCCATAAATTTAGGTCATTAATTTGTATCTGTTCTTTGTTTATTTAAGAAACAGGACAAAAGGGCAGCTGCTGAAACATTTGGCCGTGCCGAGGGGTAGTGGGCTGAACGTGTCGGAGTTCTGCGTATGACCAGCTTGAGTTTGTATCCACAGCTACAGGACAGAACTTTATGGAGTCCTTTTGCCAAGCCATGTGGTGCCTTCCACTCTGTGGTTTTGCTCTAAATACCTGGAGGTTTTTGGAAGGAAGGCATGACAGGGAAGATCTGGAAAGTGGGGGGTAGCAACTACAGATATGTATGCAGGCTGCCCCCTTTTTTGGAGGGGGGGAGAAAGAGGGTATTCAAATAGCAATTATTTTTGCTGCATTGACTTAAGTGCTGCAATTGGCTAGCAAAAGTCACACTCCGCACAGCAAAATGACCTATTTTAATTAGACATTTATAAACAGAAGTGGAATAATACCTGCTAAATTGATTGTTAACTACATTTAATGTTCTTAAATTGACCATTAAATGTGGAATAATTTCTAGTGAACTCTTGATACCATAAAAAGGGGGGGGAATGTTACAGAGGTTTTATTTGTTTTCATAAACCTAATGGTCTCGAGGGAAATTAGGTACATTTGCAGGGGTTGCTTCTTCTGTGTTGACTCTCTGTGACTTCCAATCAGTTGCATCTGGACTGCTAGAAAACAGCATGCTCTCAAATGGGGTGGCTTTAACCTCCTTGAAGAAGCACAGCCATGCAGTTTGAGCTGTGAACATTATTATCCATAGGTGACCCCAGTAATTATATAGCTCCAATGATTTTTGTCACTTTTTGCTCATTAAATAGCCCACTTTCTGTGGCACAAGAGGGAGGCAAAACATTGTAGTACAACTACTCAGTCCACTCAGCCAGTCTCTTATAAGGGCTTTTCAGCATAGATAGGAGAATTCAGCCTGAGACAAATCTCCCTCTCACACACACTTTGGAATAAGCAAAGGAATGCAGGGTGACAAGCAACAAGTGATCAAATAAATAGATTGAAAACAACTCCAATACAGATTGTAGATGCAGGCTGGGAAAGATCTCTACTTAACCACGTTGTTGGAAGAGGAAGTTCTTCATCAGGTGTCAAAAAAGAGCTAGTGCCTAATATTTAAGGGAAGGAGATACCAAGGGGCAAGTGCCACAGCCCTGAAGGTCTGATTCCTACATTGTGCAGAGCAGACCTCCTAATAAGGTAGCGTCTGCAGGAGATCTTTAGCTGCAGCACATACTGATCAGTTGGGTATATAAGGGGTGAGTCAGATAGGGCTTTATATAGGGACCTGGGTGGCAGGGTGGTCTAAACCACTGAGCCTAGGGCTTGCTGATCAGAAGGTTGGCGGTTTGAATCTCTGTGATGGGGTGAGCTCCCATTTCTCTGTCCCAGCTCCTGCCAACCTAGCAGTTCAAAAGCATGCCAGTGCAAGTAGATAAATAGGTACCGCTGTGGTGGGAAGGTAAACGGTGTTTCCATGCACTCTGGTTTCCGTCCCAGTGTTCCGTTGCACCAGAAGCGGTTTGGTCATGCTGGCCACATGGCCCAGAAAGCTGTCTGTGGACAAACGCTCCCTCGGCATGAAAGCGTGATGAGCGCTGCAACCCTATAGTCACCTTTGACTGGACTTAACCGTCCAGGGGTTCTTTACCTTTTTACCTTTTACCTATATACCAATATAAAAGTCCATCCCCCTGAACCTCACCTGGTAGCTAACTGAAAGTCAATGCAGTTCTTTCAACAGTAGGGTAACATGTTGGCCAAATCCTGCCACAGTGAGGGTCAATTCACTGCATTTTGCACCAAGTACAGCTTCCAGAACAACTTCAAGGGCAGCCTCACATAGAATGTATAAGTGTACTGTGGTCAATCTGAGAGATCAAGGAGGGATATGGCCCCACTCCCCCTGTTCTTCTGATGAAGGTCACTCATCAGGGTGACCAAGTTCAATTCAGTTCCATAACCAAGCATGAACCCAGGTTGAAATGAGTCAAGATAATAAAATAATAATAATAATACCCCACCCATCTGGCTGGGTTGCCCCAGCCACTCTAGGCAGCTTTCAACACATACAAAAACATAATAAAACATCAAACATTAATAATAACAATGTGATCCAAGATAAAAAGTCACAATAACTTTAAAAAAACAACCTATATCAAATAAAGCAATATTCAATAGTCCATTAGAATCTAATAGTAAACATTAAAATGAAGCATCAGCAATTAATAATTAAAGAGTTTACACTTATTACAATAAAGAATTACTAATCTATAATCATAAAAAAGCATGAAATGTTTTGGCATAAAATACCACAAAATGTAGAAAACCACGTAAAAGGATCAAATTGAGAAAAAAGGACACACAACTTATAAAATTACTTTAAGAAATATCCCTGAGCTCCTCTTCTCTCTTCCAAGCTGCTTCTGCTGTTCTCCAAGTCGTGGTCTGGGAAAGGCTCCCAGGGCTGGAGGGTGAGGCAAGGCGGGTGGGAGAGCCATTGGCTGATGAAGAACAAAAGTATCTCTCCCCTCACAGTTCTTCCTCTGGAGCAGCTCTCCCACAAAGTACTCCCCATCCAAGAGTACTTGCAATGGTTGCACCACAACCCTCCCTGGTGAACTTGCCTGACAGCAGAAGCAGCGAGAGTGGACAGCAGTGCTCCAGTCAATGCCAGGTATCTGGGTCTGGTAGTTGCCATTTTTATTTCCACAATGTCCCTAACATAGCATTATTCCAAAGTATTGTTGAGAGGGAGGTTCCTCACACATGAACATTGTTGAGAGGGAGGTTCATCACACCTGCGTAAAGACTGTGGTAAAAAAGTCATTATATAGAGAGAGAGCAGGGGAAAGGATTGAGAAGGCGCTGAGTGGTTCCACCTCCCCCCCCCCATCAACAACTTAATAAGTTTTAAAAATAAAATAATAATAGGAGAAGAAACCTAGTTCATGGCAGAGCCTCTGCAGAGTGTATTAGCCCCCAGGATGGGAACTGATGTCATTCTTCTAGGCCTTCAATGCAAAGATGCAAAGATCTATTGGGAGGAAGATGGGGGGAGGTGAGGATTGTAGCATGTGATTTGCTAGGATGGCAACTGATGCAATACTGTCGTACTGTAGTAATCACCATCCTGTGACTGTATGAAGCTGCCTTATTCAGTTAGATGATTATTCCATCTAATCAAATATTGTCTGTTGGGCAGTGATCTTCCCTAGGACTTATATCTGATTTATTTTTATTTTTTTAAAAAGCTTGTGATGCCAAATACTGAACCTGGAACCTTCAGTATGGAAAAGATGGGCTCTCCTACTGAGCTACAAATCCCTGAAGGTGGGAAATAAGTGTAAGAATAGTGATAAATGCTTTTGTAAGAAAATGTAAAAGATTAAATAGCAGGGATCGAGAAAGCCAGTTGTAACACATCCATCTGCTGATTGGATCAGGAACAGATCTGGAATGGTGGTTATACTTAAACCAGAAGGAAAGTACTTTAAAATAATGATTCATTCTTCCAGTGGTTGATCAATCATGTGGTGTCAAACTATCTTCAGAGCTTGATACTACATCTAGTATTTAGAAAATCCCATTGCCTAGAGATTCATT